ATAGGTCGATGCTCAACCACTGAGCCATGGTGGCCGGGCGGCACCCGGTTCTTTTCCTTCAGAGCACCCCCAGAATTTTATAACGATAGGTTGTCATGAACGCCGCCTCCTCTCCAGCCCGTGAGCTTGATGGGGCGGGTGCCATGCTCAGCTTCGTGTCTCGCTACTTCTCTAGCCCCTGGCCCAGTGCGTGGATGTCATGGAGCTGCCGGCTGATGGAGGAAGTACCTGCTCAGTGATGGAAGGAGCCGTCCTCATAGCGACAGTCACTAGGCCTGTCTTGTTCGCGGCTCCATCCCAGCACTTAGTAGGCAAGTAGTCGGTGGTTTTGGGGAGTTGAAGTGCAGCACACCCCCATGGGCTCCATCCTCCTCAGGTCTTCCTCGCTCCAGCCCAGCCCACCGCCCTCCTGCCCCTCCCCAGATATGCTTGTACCTGTGCATCTCCCTTCCCCGCGTCCTGCCTGCACTTCCTTTCCAGGCCCCTTTGAAAAAGCATGTGTGTGGCCCGGCCAGTGTGGCTCAGTGGTTGAGCATCAACCTAGGAACCAGGAGGTCAGGGTTCAATTTCCGGTCAGGGCACATGCCCGGGTTGTGGGCTCGATCCCCAGTGTGGGGCCTGCAGGAGGCAGCCAGTCAATGATTTTCGTCATTGATGTTTCTCTCTCTCTCCCTCTCCCTCTTCTCTGAAATCAATAACAAAATAAATAAAATGAAAGGGTCCTCAACTTGCCTGTGTCCATGAGTGTGCTGACTTGCATCCATGTGTCTGTCCTCCTCTGTCAGACAAAATGCTCCAAGGACAGAGCCTGAGTCCCAACTCCTTGACCTTCCCACCCCCACCCCCACCCCCCGCTCCAGCCACTCCGCGGTCCTCAGGACACAGGCACCCGACTGGCTCCCTAACCCTGGCCATGCAGCTGCCCTGGGGCTGGCCTCCAGACGCACCTGTGGCCCCTATGACCTTGAGGTAAACTTGTGTCTCCTGCGCCTGCGGCCCATTTCCTCCCTCCCCGCGGACTCCTACCTGTTACCTACAAGAGAGGCGCCAGCGTGGGTGTGGGCGCCCAGCCCTGAGAACTGTACCCTCCACTTCCTGTGTTTTGCATGGGCTTCTGGGTCTCTGGTGTCTGCAGGAGCTGTTCACACTCACAACTGCTTCCCACTGCTGATCAGTTCCCACAGGTGCGACGATGTGATCAAAATACCGCGTAGAGGCGGCCGCGGTGAGAGGAAGCGAGGAGTGTGAAGAGCTCAGCACAGGTCAGGCACACGCAGCACCTGGTCCACAGCCCACGCGGCGTGGGCAGCGCCCTGCCAGCCGGGCAGGTGCCG